AGAAGAAAGGAAACAGTGGGGACGCACGTTCTAACCTAACCTAACCTAACCTATTCTAATAAATTACCATAATTATTACCAATCAAATTATTAGAATAGGTTAGGTTAGGTTTGAACGTGCGTCCCCACTGTTTCCTTTCTTCTGTTTGCTGGAATCGGAGACGAGCCGCCATTTTACTCACCATAGGTAACATTAACTGCACAATTATATCATGCAATCACCAGAAAAAGTATGATAAAGTATGAATATGAAGTATGAATAAAATAGATGGCCCGGTGATAGTTCGCTTTAAGATGTCGATCCCATTCTTAGGTTGATCCTATTGCGAATCGAACTTATCCGTAATGGGCGAAATTGTAGCCACGACTATACGATAGTTTCAATATGCTATGACACTGAACAATTCCACGTTTAAAAAATTATCATATCTGATCGAAAACACAATTTAAATCATTAATTACTTTTCATATAGAATTTTTTTTTTAATATTTCAATAAACAGTTTTTAGTTCATTAATGCATTATTGCATGGATAGGACAGACGAAACAAGGCAATCAACATGTGGGTAATTGCATTGATCAAGTGTCTAATATATCAGATACAAAGAAAACGCAGAAACTCCACGCGAACCCGCCAACGTCTACCGGCGTTGGGTGGTTTTATCCACTAAGCCACTGAAGGCATAATTCTTTTTTATTTTTGACTGTCTTGTCGTAAAAGGACGTTTTCTAGGCTCGTATTCGGTCAGTCCTTCAACGAGAGTTATCGGAGATCGAGGATCGAGACACGATATATGCCACCCACGAAAATTTCTGACTTACCAGAGTACTCGGAAGAGCCGGCCGACGCTTTTACTGCCTCGGCCATCCGGCCGTTTTAAAAATCGAGAAGCCTCTGGCTACTTGATAGTAGACTTAACCTATATGTAGGCTACTATATGCAACAGTATATAGTATTGTTGCATATAGATGCCTGCACTAAACATGTTCGAAGCGTTAAGAAACTTATTGAAAAAAATAATTCATTAATCAAATTTAACTTAGGGACCGTCCATTATTTGTACAATTTTTCAGCTAATTTTGACCCCCTCCTTTCCCGTCGTATACAATTATGTACAGTACTTTTGTCAAAACTCCTTCCCTTCAATTACGAGTACAATAGTTTGTAGATCACGTGGCATCGAAGAAATTAGGCCCACCGGTGGCCGAGTAGATAAAACCACAACACTGATGGTTTGACGTGGATTCGCGTCTTGCCAACAGGCTGGCTACGTAAATTGTTTTTGTTTTGTTTTGTTAAGTTATGGCAACGCAACACTTGGGCGATCTGCTTAAGGAGGATGCCTTCCGGGAGGTCTTTTTAAGGGTAACTGGTCTCTATTCAGGCGTTATAGACGTGGAGTTTTCCAGTTTTCTTCACGTCTGTAACATCTAACTTGTAAATAGAGATCAGTTTCACATTGAAAGTCCCCCGGGAGGTATCCCTCTAGGCAGTTCGCCCACGTATCGCGTTGCTATACACAAATAAACCAAACTAATGGAAGAAATTTAAAAAAATGTTCTGCAAATATTTTCTGATAGTTTACTTACGTTACTGATAATGGGATTATAAAACAAATTCGTATGCCACTAATACCAAAAAAAAATTCCATATAATCCCCCTTCCTCGTCGTGTACAATGATGCATTTTTTGCGAATCTTTCCCTTAAACTGCACGCTTAATTCATGGACCACCACTTATTAAACTTGATCACTTATGAATTTCATTATGACTTATTGTGTTCATTGACAAATATCGTATTGTATATTATATTAAAATGAAATTTTAATTTATTTACGTAATTAAATAATATAAGTAAAAAAATTCGTGTTTTAAATTTTCATTCTAAACATACTGAAAAATCAAAGCAATTTTATATATTTTATAAATTTCGAAAACATTTTTCCTTTAGAACTTCTTTAAATTATTTAGAGAGTTAGTGTCAAATAGTAGAGTTAGTGTAGAACATGGAGGAAAGTAAAAAAAATTAATTATCATCATAATTGTTTTGAACGTTATCAGATTGAAACGTGAATGTCACTGCCCTTTAGACGTTACCGGACGTGTCGTTTGTCACTGGAACAAACCATGACAAATTTAATCGAGTTTCGTCGCGCCATCGATTTTTCTCCAAATAACTCGACAGTGCCATTATTAATTAATACATTTTTAATATAGTAACGCTTTGCGTAATTTTACACATTAACCATTGTCATGACTTATTCCTCGAAAGAATAAGTTTAATAAGAGACATATCAAATTTTTAAGTAGTAATAGAATTTTATGTCATTTTGTTAATTAAATATTAAGATCCAACATTAAATAATAATATTAATTTTTACGTATGGAAATAAACGTACACTTTTATTTAGGTATAGGCCTATCTTATTTCTAGAAATACCTTTTTAAGCATGAAAAAGTTGACTATCTTCCCTTAAAATGTTGAACACAATCGAATCACTATGATTCCATAAACTTTTCTAAACTCATCACTTAAAGCAGCCATAAAGTTGCTTTGTATTGTCCAAGATTAAGTTTCTCTCTCTGATTATGGTCTTTCTACATACGGTAACTAAAATTAATACATAATATACATTATAATAATGACAATGCCTGAATTGACAAAATAAAGATTAGTAATATATATATATATATATATATATACTATATATGTATTACTAATATATATATATATAGTAGTTATTATTCACAGTATAATTATTTAATATATATTTATTAAGTAGGTAATGCAATTGTAAATGAAATGATACAACTATGTATTGAAGATTTTAATCCATGGCAAGTTTTTAAGAGGGGAAAAATTAAGAAATATTGATTTAAAATAAAACGATTGATGATAGTTGCGACGTTCTGTATGAATCTAGTGGAAGTCAACAAGAATTCTCGTGGGAATGTCCAGACACGAGTATTCAATCAATTCGCAATGAAACCTGACAGGAGGAAGAAAAACAGCTTCCAACTAAACGAAACTAATAACGTTATATATTTGATAAAAAGGTACATCTCTATTCCTATTAATAATACATAAAATTCACTTAATTTTTATCTGTAGTGAATATTTTTAATCTCTATTTACAAATTGAGATGATTCAAATGTAAACTTCTTTCATTTCTTTAAAATTTATGGACCGTCATTATGTCAATCCAAGTTTATAATAGTTAATAGTAGTAATATACTGTATAAATATTCTAAATAAAAACGAAAATAATGAAAAATACAAACATGGCTCCATCTAGTGATCTTTAAATTTAAAGTTTCTATATATATTTATTACATCGAATAATCCAATTACTTTGTTTTTATTTAAAATAAATTGCATTACGATTTTATTATGTTAAAGTATATTGGAAAAAATTTGTAATTTAAAGAAAACATTCAAAATTATATTATATTCTTATATAAATAAAACAGTTATAGTCAATGAAAATATGTTAAAGTTGCAAAATTACTTTATAAGTCTACAATATACTGTAGGCCTATAACTATTATATCAAAACTATAAATTTTATAGTTTTGATATAATAGTTATTACAGTAGTTGCAAACTACTAAACCTTTAACTTTCTTACTTTTAATGGAATTAAGTTATAAAATAACTTTATATAGGCTGGAATTTAAATTTATTATTCTATGCCATTAATGTTGCTTAAATAAATATAAACACTATGCTGCTTAGTGTCAACATATATTTAAATAACCCTACAGTCATGAATATTTGATTATTTAAAATATTTAATGTAAATATAGTTCTATTTACTAACCTAAAAAACATTTCCCCCTTAATACGCAATATTTAAGCATGTCATTTATATTTTTGATTTATTGATGATAATAAAAATTTGATTTATTTTTTATCGTAAAAATATTCTAAATAATATGATAAATAATAAATCATGACACATTCTTTTTCAGATATTTTGTCAATAGAATATAAAATCTATTGTCACCATTGTTTGCTTCGGCGGGTTGAGTGCAGTCGACAATGCATCATTGTAGAAAGCTGCCATCCCTTATCTCACCACTTCCAAACAAAACTGCTGCAATAATTACTGTGTTTAATGAACGACTACCGTTCGATGCTGAAGCTGTTTGTAGATACTATCGTCTGGTTAATGCTTCAAGACCAACGAAAAACAATAAAATTGAACCAAATAAACTACACTTTGTATATTTTGATATAGTATATCAGCAGCGTAAATATATTTACAAATTAAATTAATATTTAATCATTATTGAACACTCCTCAAAACTCAATTTGGAAGAAAAACTGCTAAAAAGAATCCCATTATTGTAAAATAAATTGCATGCAGCAGTATTTACTCTGTTTTTCTGTAAAAAAAAACATCATAACACTTCTACTCTGAAAAGTTAAATGACGATCACCGGAGAACACAACAACTATCCATCATTTGAAAAACGATCGATGTAAAGGATTATTGGATATGATAGCAAGACATCAGGTAGTAACGAGGATGATTTTTCACAGAGATTAGCCCCCAAATAGTAGCTCCCTGGAGATACTTTTCGCTCGTATCGCTTGATAGGAAAGAGAATGATGTATTGTCCGTTTGCCCCGTCAAAGAGAGTTTTCATTGTTTCTAAATTGAAGGAAAACTCACAGTTGTAACTTTATTCTCTACAGTAACTTAACTGTTTGAAGAGTATTATTATTATTATTATTATTTTGTAAATAAAATTACAGATTGGCAAGCTAATTAACACAGCGTAGCAAATCATTAAAATTTCACAAAATGAAAATATATACAGTAGGTAATTTTAATTATTTTAGTGCTCGTTTATTTTAATATAGCATGTTAAAAATACATATGTTAATCGCATTAAAACTCAGATATGCTTGTATTTATTATTTATATTTAGAAAAAATATATAAATTTTTATTTCGTGTGTAAATCCGATATTACATCCCACTCGTCGTTCACTTCGTAACCACGGCAACACCCATATGACAGAAACAGACGTTTCATTACAGAAGACTGTAACTGTAGCACTTCTCTCTGGGGAGCCTTGGGCAAGTTTAGAAGGGGTTTCTGATATTTCATTTGTTCGAGGATAACGGAAGTGAAGACAAATTCAGGAAATGAATGGATTTGTGAGCCTCGTATCTGACGTTTCTTCTCCTTTTTTTTTATTGTTATTTATCTTCTCAATCATGATTGAATGAATTACACAGATAATAAAAGTTTACAGCTAACAAAATAATTTGATAAAATTAGTTCTAGCCCAACTAATGAAAAATAATTTCCTGTCAGCAAGATTAAAGATACCGAGAAGTTGATGGCAAGAAATGGTTGTTTTATCTCGAAGTTGGGATTTTATTGCAAATAAAATCTGAAGATTAGATTTTGTTCTAGATATTATTTTAATTATTGTTATTAATATAATTAATTAATATGATATAAAATATTAAGCTTGTTTAGTAATTCATTTATTAAATTACTTTTATACATAGCTTGTATAACGTCTTGGAAGTTCTTTAAGACAAACGTTATGTTATGCATATGTATAAGAAAATTAATTTAACGGAATGCGTTATAGACTAATTATAAATTTTATTACGAGTAAAAAGTTATATGTTTATCGCATAAAAGAAAATATTTCGATCTATGTTTTTATCATACTCATATTATGTTCATGGAATAGAACTATCAACATATACCAGAAAAATTTTAAATAATTTTCATCCATTTCGTTGTCTTCTCACGTCTTTTCTTCTCTGTGCTTTTTGCTGATATGCAATTTTGGGTATATATCACTTTGGTTTATATTGATATGACAGTTTAATGTACAATCTATCAGCATAACCCGACGTATATATCAATATTTATATGTGGATTTATGCATAATATACAAAGATTATATATACATATATAATTTTTAAGACGCAATTACATTCATTTCGTTTAGTATTTGCATTTTAGTAAAATTATCAAATGAAAATATTAGATATTGGTTATGTATCTATTTACTGTATACAAATTCATCTTCCATTATATCTTACGTTTTCAACTTTATAAAAAAAATACAAATATGAAATAATATGAACATGTTCTTTTCTTAAATATTAGGCCTATACGTAAACAATCGTTAGAAGGATTTCATTTCTAGTCAATAATAGCTTATATATAATTTTAGATGCATTAATATTATTTATACTTATATATATATATATATGTATGTGTGTGTGTATGCGTGTGCGCGCGTGTGATCATGCAACGATCCTAAATAATTATGAGAATCTAAATATTTGCTTCGGGCAGTTAATGGGAAATGATTTATACAGTTACATGAATTTAATTAATTATACAAATTTGATGAATATAATATGTATTTAAATAACTTCTAAACAGAGTAAACAACAAACAATTTTAATTGAGACCGAGTTGTAATTTAAAAAATTAAAAAATTGTACGAATGTGTTTCCTTCTCGAATATTAAGTTTTATGCTATCAATCACTAAAATTTTATTCCTAGTCAATAACACCTCACAGGTAAGTTTTAGGTGCATTAATAGGTTCATAAATATATTCGTGCAATGAACCTAAATACAAATCATACATACAGTAGGTTCATTGCACGAATTCACGAAAAAGCCCCGAAATGCCCCTTAGCTACAAGGGGCATTTCGGGGCTTTTCGCTTCAAAAGTTGTGTGTTTATATCAGTTTACCAAAGAATACGATTAATTATTTACTTATTTATTTTTTTAACTAAAATTTAAAAAAATTTCACGTCTGTTTTCACTTTAAACTACACGATGCCGACCGATTAGAATGAACTTTGCACACGACCCAGGCACTTCTAACATTGCCAAGTTCCTCCTGACGGAAAAACCTTTTATAATTAATAAAGGATTAAAGTTAATAAAGCATGATTTATGCGGTTTGATATAATTAATTAATTATACAAATATGAAGAATTTATAAAGTGGCTTTAAGAAATTACTAAACGGAATAAATAACGAAAAGGAATTTTATTGAATGAGATGTAATTAAAAAAGAAAAGCTATAAAATTTGCATTTTAAGTGCTGATAAATTCTTAAAGTTATCTAAGCCTAACAATGTTAACTTCCTTATTTTAATGGTGTATAAAGTTTTAAAGACATTGTATCAAGTTGTGAGTTTTTAGAATTTATAATTATCTTAATACTCACTTCATTTATAGAGAAGAATAATTAAAATGTTTAAACTTCCATTAGAGAGATGAAAACATCCGGCTCTACATCACAACTTCCACAGAAAGCCGATCCCGTTGCTATGGTAACGAGCCAAACGATGGCAGAAGAACTTAACCACGGGGAAAAAAAATTAAAAATCGCCGTTTTTATGATCGTAATCTATATTAAAATAATTCATTTTAAAATACTTATATAGCGTGTGGCAATATAAATATAAATTTAATTTTATATTCGCGGTTTATTTTTATTATTATTTTTATTATTGAATTTATACGATCGATTTTTAGCAGTCTCCTCCAGATTTTATCTACCGAAAAGGATAAGAAAAGTCAATTCTTTATTTCGGTCCCCAAAGGACAGGGAACATGTCGACAAGTGTATAGTGGGTGTTCTGACACACAAGTCATTTGACCAATAAAATCCCTTTTATATTGACAGCGCGGGACTACTTGTCCTACTCATTTGGTGACAATGCTAAACGTCTACAAAATGGCCGAGACAAATAAATAAAATGTAAATGGATAATAAATGATTTTTAAAATGCACCTCGGGAATATTTATTCAGAAGCAATTTTAATTAAGTTCGCCAACTCCTAATTAATTAATAGAAAATCTAAACTTTTCCTTTTTTTTCCCTCATTAAAGCAATGACCAAATTTCATATTAACGGCTTTTCCGTTATTAATTTTCTCTCGGCAACGATAATTTTTTAAATATCCTTAAAAGAGAATTTAAATAAGCAATAACTTATGAATGTATATTAAGATATTAAATTTTTGGAATTGCTTTTTAGTTGGTAAAAAAACATGAATTTCGATGAATTCCTCCCGTTTCTTGTTAGTGAGGCGCTGCATTTTTCTTTTGGAAGAGTTCTTTTAACTTCATAAAATTTTGATGAATCAGTTATGTTATTTCTAATATTAATTTTTACGAATCATCAAAGAATATTTAATAATAATAAAAAAATTCAATAATGAAGTTTTCCATACGGGGAAAGAGAATTTGAAAATTGACTCGCAGGGCACGATGGGAAATTTTACAGATACGAAAGCGAATCGATTAATGCGTATCGATTCTTTTTATTCGATACATTTAAATTAAACTAGGTTATTTATTTACGGAAAAAAGATGGCTATTCGAGTGCGAGATCGACGAATAAAAAATAAATAATTTTTATTCGCAATTCAAATTATATTTTAAATATAATAAAGAAAAGATAAAAAACGCGAAATTAATTTATTACGGTTTCTAAAAATCATTTTATATTCATTTATTATTTTGACGGAAAAGACTTATAAATGGTGTGACATCACAGACGGAAAGAGCCGCCTGGGATTAGTTCGGGGGATGTAACGAGTAATGAATATACATGGATGCTGTAAATATCCGTAAAAATACGACTTTTACGTTCGATTTTAAAGGCAAGAAGGGAATTTTACACAGTGATAGGGACGAGTATTGATATATGGCGCGACTCTTTCATTTGTCAACGCGTGTGCGGAATTGGCCGTTAGTCGGCGCTATGGAGAAGTCGACGTTAGATGGCGCTGGGAAACGAGGCAGACGATAGAGGAGTCGAAAACGTCCGTAGTCGTTCGTCTGCCTTTTCGCTAACCAAATAATTATGGAAGTTATGATGGACGAACTGGCCGTTTCACCCCTTATCTCGATCAACGATGAATTACTGCAGCTTTAATTAAGCCGATCGACTCAATAGGATGCATTATTTTTTAAAGAGATTGGCCAGGATCGAAGGATGAGGATTGAATATGAAGCGGGGTAATATTTAGAAGGAAAAGTAAGAAAAAAAAGCAAGAATGTATATTGATTAAAGAAGAATTCGCTGTTAATACATAAGGTAAATTCACTTTTTATTTATTAATAATTAATCTATTCAAATATGCACGTAAATATTTAATTTACATTTTATATTATTGTCAGTTTTTAAACACCAGAACATTTAATTAACACGAGGAAAATTCTACATTATCTCTGATATATTTAAAGATGTTAATTGGTCATAAATAATTTAATCCGAATTATCTGATTAGAAGAGTTACATTTATGCAATTTGTAAATATACACGTTTAAAATCTACGAAATATATATATTTATATTTGCAAGTTAGATAAAAAGTAATAGTAGTCATTGTTGTGAAAGTATTGCGCAACTTGTTTTTAAAATGTAACTAGGAATTTAAACATTTTAAAATAATTAATGTCTTACAAAAGTGTCTGAAAATTTCACCAGCTTCAAATTATAAATTTCCTGGTCATTATTCTAAAAATCAAGAAATTATTTAGTCGAACAAATTACTTTCATTATTAATATTATTATTATATATATTTTAAATCTAAAACTGCACTAAGATTTTAAAAATGAAGCGTATCGTTAATTGATTTTAAATTATACAAATTGCCTGATTAGAAGAATTGGTTTTTTAGTTTTTATTATATACAATTCATTTGTAAGAGTACCTTCACCCTTTGTTTTGTTGTCTTTTCTTGGATAAAATATTTGAGTTGGTGTAAAGAATTAGAACTCCAAATCCATCACGTAGTGAAAACTATAAAAATTTCGGTGTGTATTTTTCTAATATTTATCATATAAAAATGAAAATTAGGACATTATTCTTACTTTTGGAAAAACTTTTATAGAATTTGTCATGTGCGATGAGTCACACATTATTCGTTTATAAATCAAAACTTCTAAAAAAATTATATGTCGGAATAACAACGTATAGCATAAAAATCCACAACAACGAAGCTGAGCGTGAAAAATAGCGATTGTATTCCTAACCTTAACTAAATTTTTTAGAGATGCACATTTTTAAATATTCTTTTTTTACCGGCGATAGACATTTCCAATTAGTTTCCTCGCAGTTCTCGATAAATTTAATATTGGAAGAAATTCGTGCATCCATATAAAAATCCGCGAATAAAGAAAGCGTGCACAGATTATGCCATTAACGATTATAGCCAGGGATGGTTATGGCACTCGTGAACGGGAGATGTTCGGTGCAACCGTGACGTATCGTTTCTTTTAAGATATTACGTGATATTTGACGTAAAAATCGTCACGTAGTAATTACGACGTACGAATACTTCGGTTACTTTGTCTGGTAACATCAATCTTGCTAAAGTTAATGTTATTTGTTAAGAAGCTTAATATAAACGTATAATGGGCGGAGAACGGACCCGGAACACGTGTAATTGGATGCATTCGTTTACACTTCGCCGAGATCACCGCGGGTTTCGTCTCAGATCCTTCCTATTTCCGTTTATGTAATGCTAACGCTTTCTCATCCGAGAGATGGCTTTTTCTGTCGTTATGTACATTATCATTGACTTCGTGATAAGCAGTGAATGTAATTTCATTGGAATGATTTCATTTTACTTGTTACATGAAAAAAATTAACTTTTTTTTTTTGTAAAACTAAGGAGTCGCAATAAACCGAACGTTTCGTGTTACTACGAGTATTTAAAATACTTATAATTAAAACTGCTTAAGATTAATTTTTATGCTTTAAATTGCTTATTTTTCAAATATTTATTTTTTCCTTCTCGTCTAACGTATTAATGGTGACTATTAATATTATACAATGTTTGATAAATTTCAATGTAACAATGATGTTACTATTAAGAAAATTTCGGTATTACTTCCACGACACTGACGTGTAAATGGATACGTGTATTTTTTTTTCTATCCATTTCGTGACTGATGTATTCGTGTTTATGTATACCTGAGGATTATTATATATTGTGGTATATTAATCTTCAGTATTATCTATCGTGCAATATTCTTTTGTTTACCTTTCTCTCTTTTAGTTATCTTTCTGTTCCGAAATGCTTTTTATATCAATTCGTCATTTTACAACTCATCAAATTCCGTCTTTTAGATAACATTAAGTTTTTCTCGCTTATCAACTAAAAACATTAGTGTGATGCTAAATTTGCTCTCCGAGTCGCTTTGACTCACTTACTGCATTATATTTCTGTAAATTCGTGATGAATTTGCTTGAAGTAATATCGTTTTATTTTTATCTTCACTAGAAAGTAACTAAACTTTATTTTTATAACTCGTTTCGTGCGGTTTGAGAAAATTTTCTCATTTGTTTGTACGATGTTTATGTAATATTCAAACGTCCATAATGTTTTAGTGTATTTTCTTAAATATTAAAACTACAGCACTGTCTTCTATGGCTGATGTCACGCTTTTAACTCAACTTGCACGCACATGTGTTAGTGCTATAGTAATGGCATGTTTATATTAAAAACAATTATAAACATTTAAATATATTATATTGTTCACAATATAGTATATTTTTAAGGATCAGTTACACTAGTGCTAATATTTTGAGATGTTTCGTAATAAAGTGATTTTTAAAATATTAAAGCATATTCTGTTCAAGCGTGATATGAAAAGTGCTAATATTTGTCATATGATATTTAACAATTTCAGAATAGTTACTCTGCGAATTATTTGAATAATTGCGTATTTGACAAAGAAAGAAGTTTTCATTTATCTTTCTTATGGCTTTGAATTAAGACGTTTAATTTTTTTTATAACTAGCTGAACTATAGATAAGTGTTCAACAGTTTTATTTAAAAGTAAACATTTCTCATTCTAGTTAACCTATTTCTATTTATTTTTTTATTTAAAAACAGAATAAAGTATAATATACTTGTAAATCAAAATTCTTTTTATCAGCAATTAGGTTCTTCAATGGATAGTTTTTAAAATAGCCGCTGCATATGCTAGACTGCTGTTAAGTGCACGATTAGTTGTTAAAAATAAATAATTTTTTTATACATTGTTTTTTATGAAGACGAAAACTTATCGTTTGAAATTCACCCAGCAAAAAATAATTTTTTTTTTATTATGTACGGAGCAGATTTGTGTCCGTATAATAATTCAGAATCAGTATGTTCGCTTTTCATTCATTTCTGATTTGTCATTCACTCTTCCAAACGATTACTTATTATTTTACTTTAGAGAAGGAACACAAAAATAAATTCATTAGCTATAATTTAATGCACTTAATATCGCTTATTATTATTTTCTTTGTAAATTTTTCTGTATTCTTTATTTCGTACTTGATTGCCTCTTGTTCTCTTTTTAACTGTTAGGG